ATGGAAAAGTATGTAAATGGATTTTTAATTTGCTATATGACCGAACTACGTATGTTAAATTTAATAACATAATACATGGCCCTAGAAATATATACAAAGGCACCATGCAGGGTGCTACTATATCTCCTTTGTTATATAATATATATATATATTGTGTCACATGTCACTCGACAATCCTGGAAATACGATTTACAGATAGATATATATATATATATATATATATATATATATATATATATGCCTTGTTAAGCAAGAACTCGAGATCCTTATGGAAGGCATACTGGGAAGAAATAAGCAAGTCCAAAGGAATTTGTTATTATGAAATACAAAAAAGCCCGCCAGCCACTCCTTGGTACAACAAAAAAGGGATTAATAATAGAAAATTCATTACGACTGTAAACCGAATGAGATTTGGACATAGCAGAGTAGCCGCCCACCTGCATCGTTTGGGAATGAAAGAAAATGCAAATTGTGAATATTGTGGAGACACGAAAGGAGACCTAAAACATTTTGAGAAACATTTTACTGATGTTCCTTTTTTGACAACAAAATCATTAAATTCTTCTCCTACTGTCGCCGAATCATTGCTCAAACAAAATGTAAAGGCTTGTTCAAATACTTTTAAATTCCATAGGGTACTGCCAAAAGATATCGTTAAATATTTTAAAACTATTGATGTTAAGAAAACGGCAGACTTATGGGGGATTTCCGTTAAAGTTATTTTATCTATAATAGATACATTAGCACCTTATCTAGCCACTATATTTAATATAAGCGTCGAATCTGGTGTGTTTCCTGATTTAATGAAACATAGTAAAGTCATACCTATATTTAAATCTGGTAGTACATTAGACCCCGCCAATTTTAGACCAATTTCTGTACTACCAACATTAAGTAAAATTTTTGAAAAAATTATTTTAGATCAGATGTTAAGTTTCTTTAATATTAATAAATTGCTACATAATAATCAATTCGGTTTTACAAGGGGTCGCTCGACAACTGACGCTGGAGTTGAGCTTATTAAACATATTTTTTGTGCATGGGAGAATTCAGAGGATGCTTTGGGTATATTTTGTGACCTTTCCAAGGCCTTCCACTGTGTTCACCATGAGACATTGATCAGGAAGCTACAGTACTATGGTGTCAAGAACACAGCGCTTAAACTTATTATTTCATATTTAAGTAATAGAAAACAGAAGGTTATTATCAATGGTAAAAGTTCTTCCGGGTCACCTGTACTAATGGGTGTACCTCAGGGCTCGATTCTCGGCCCATTCCTGTTTCTGGTGTATATTAATGACTTACCTCACCTTGTAGGGGATAGTCATGATATAGTATTATTTGCTGATGATACTTCCTTGATTTTTAAACTTAAACGTCAATCATTTAAATGTGACGAAGTGAATAATGCTATATCAAAATTAGTGCATTGGTTTAACGTTAATAATCTGCATTTGAACGGAAATAAAACTAATTGTGTTAAATTTACAACAACGAATGTTCAAAATCTGAATACCAATGTGTTTTTAAATGGGGAGGAATTGAGCCCTGTTGTATCCACTGTTTTTCTTGGCATCACTCTTGACGCAAAGCTCCAGTGGGGCCCCCATATATCCAAATTAGCAAGCAGACTAAGTTCTGCAGCCTATGCTGTAAAAAAGATTAGAGGTCTCACTAGTGTCGAGACAGCTAGATTAGTTTATTTTAGTTATTTTCATAGCATAATGTCTTATGGGATTTTGCTATGGGGAAATGCGGCTGATTCAGAAACTATTTTTGTTTTACAGAAGAGGGCCATTAGAGCTATTTACAATCTAAAACCGAGAGAGTCTCTTAGAGATAAATTTAAAGAAATTAATATATTAACTTTGGCCTCTCAGTATATTTACGAAAATTTAATGTATGTTCACAAAAACAAAGATAGTTTTAGTAAAAGAAGTGATATACATTCTGTAAACACTAGGAACAAACACAAGCTAGTGATACCAGTTTCTCGACTCCACAGAGTCAGTAATTCATTCTTGGGGCAATGTATACGCTATTACAACAAGGTCCTGGAAAGTGTACAGGTTCTGTCTATTACCAAGTTTAAATGTTTTATTAAGCTGAAACTGTATAAAAAGGGTTATTATAGTATAAATGAATACATGGTTGATAATAACCCCTGGGAATGAGGTGATCGCTTCCAAGCAGTTTCTAAAATAAATTTTGTAAATAGTTCGTAAGCATTTATATTGTAAAATTTATTTAAAAAAAGTCCCGCTTGGTTTCTTGCTGGTTCTTCCCAGGACAGAGGGTTTTTTTCGAACCAGTGGTAAAGTAAAAAATGACTTTCAATAAGAATTACACATGTAATGTATATTGAATAAAAAATATTCTATTCTATTCTATTCTATTCATCTGGTTTTTCAATGCAGTTAATTTGGTTTGAATAGATTACTCCTCATTAATTCCATTCAAGATATTAACAATGATAAAGTTCCTGATACTCTTCAAAGTTTATTAGCTGATGAAAACTTCTTCCGAACATTATATTCCTTTATATCTGGTGTCCAAGATATTGTTACGAGCTTGGGGTTCGAGACAATAAAAAAACTGCCGATTGAATTACCAAAATTGACACTTTAATTACACAACACTAATTACAATTTAAAACCACACTAATAATAAAACACAATCACTTTAGTCCGCAGTTATTTCGCTTCGAAGTATTCTCTGGTATCGCCAATTCAATACTGCCTCGGTCGTGGTCTATACCGGCGTTATATAGGACCTCAGATAGTTTCCAGAACCTTCTACTGTAGCGACATCTAGAATGTTCGAGTACATATCGGTCCCGAAATTTCTGGAAGGATCTTGACTCTCCTAGTTCTGCTACTCAACACTAGAGGGCGCTAGTGTAACTAGTTTTGCCATGTACAAGGTATTAATAGTGGCGCGCAACACTGCCCCCTTCTAAGACATGCTCGTCCCGAGCATTATTGGCCCCATAATAACGCGCCAGTCGATCCACATGGACGATCTTAGGAGTCCCTCTTCTAACATCAGTCAGCACCCGCCACTTTCCCTGCTGCAGCTGCGCGGTGCTGTGAGCCACACAACCCTCTCGAGATCGATCACCTTCCCCTTCTACAGTTCGCTTAGGGCAGCTGGATCGAAGATGGCGCCTTTCCCCACAGCCGTAGCACCTAGGGCTGTATCCTTTATTACGGACGCGAACTGTAGCCGCTGCAACTTCCTTGACGCGATAGGAACGATGATCCTGTCGCACGGCTTCCACCTCCAGTGCATAGACCAACGCGTCCTTAAGCGTCTCGTGGTGCCCGAGCCTCACAGCAGCTCTGACTTCAAGGTCGCGGATGCCGTCAATGAATGTCTGCACCAAGTTCCCTACAATGAGCACAGGTACAGACTGGTATGCTTTTCGAACCAGCTTCTCCACCTCAAGGGCCCACTGCTGTAGGTTTTGTTGCTGCGTTGCACGCAATCTTTGAGCTGCACACGAAATACGTGTTCCAGGTGAGCGTCGCCATATCTCGCCTCCAACGCCTCAAGGAGCTGCTCGTAATAACTTCCTTACCGAGAGCTTCCAGAACAGTTAAGGCCTGGTCTCGCAGGCCTAGGGTGAGAGCAGTCATGACCTGACTTTTATTCCAGCCGTTCGCTTTCATGACAGCCTCGAACTGGATTTTGTAGGCCGACCAGGAAGAAGTCCCGTCGAACGGTGGCACTTTTAATCCACGTAGAGAAGGTGTTGTAGCTACCACGGGAGCTGTAACTCCATCCCCAATTTTGAGGTCGTCCAGCGTTTACTTCACGTCAACCATCACGTTGTCAACCCGATTGTTCACTTGATCGATTCGGGTTTCAGCTTCCAACAGGCGGTTGTCGTGTTGAGCAACCCTATCCTTCACCTCCTTTATCTCTTTCCCGAAGGTAGCGTGAAGGTCCTTCGTGAGGAGCATCTGGTCTTCCTTATCGCGTTTGAGCTGCTTTTCCAAGCAACGGGCCTGTTCCTCCTGTCCGCGCTGCAGCTGCTCTTCCAACCGACGGACCCGTTCCTTCTGTCCGCGCTGCAGCTGCTCTTTCAATCGACGGGCCTAAGTCAGGTGCTGCAGATGCAGGAGCTGCTGACGGGCCGGCCTCCGTGGTGAGCAGCTGGCCCTTCGACGTTTGCGACGTTGCATTACCAAATCGTCTCTGGTCCGTCTACAGCTGGCGTTGACTTCGGGTACGGATACCCTCCATGTCGTCCTTTGGTAAAATCGGCATGATTTGATCCCACTTCTGACACCAATTGTTACGAGCTTGAGGTTCGAGACAATAAAAAAACTGCCGATTGAATTACCAAAATTGACACTTTAATTACACAACACTAATTACAATCTAAAACCACACTAATAAGAAAACGCAATCAGTTTAGTCCGCAGTTATTTCGCTTCGAGGTATTCTCTTGTATCGCCAATTCAATACTGCCTCGGTCCTCGGTCGTGGTCTATACCGGCGTTATAGAGGGCCTCAGACAGTTTCCAGAACCTTCTACTGTAGCGACATCTTGAATGTTCGAGTACATATCGGTCCCGAAATTTCTGGAAGGATCTTGACTCTCCTAGTTCGGCTACTCAACACTAGAGGGCCTAGCGCCCTAGTAACTAGTTTTGCCATGTACAAGCTATTAATAGTGGCGCGCAACAATATATAAAAATGAGAACAACGTGATATTAATCAATAGTGCAAACGTAAACAAACTGTGAATCGATGTAAAAGTGAATTTTTGATGAATGTATCGTAAAGTTAATACATTGTAACTTCAGGCTCAGAAGGGCTAGAACCCAGAGCCGTAAAGCCAGTTTAATAAAAATATCTGTCAACTGTGTTTTTCTTTGGTTGTCTTTTGATTTCGCGGGTCGGAATTTAGACTTTAAATTTTGGTTTTGCTGAAATTCAATTTAAGGTTGCATTATTAAATCTTTGGGACCTTAAGAGGCAAAAGTAGAGTTATGGCAGATGCAGAGTTAACTGACTTAAGAAAACAATGCATAGCAAGTTTGTATACTTGTGCGGACAATGTTGCAATGTTTTTGGATGGACAAGAAAGAGAGACTGAGTTTTCTAAGTTAAAATCTTGTATTGAAGAATATTGTATGTTAGAAGCTCAGCAGGATGTAGCTAACCAAGCTTTAGAGAAAGCAAAGGTACGTAAACATAAAAGCTATGTTCATTATGTCCTTTTTTGTAGTAACTAGCTGATACGTTGTGATGCGTTGCTTGATATATTAGCAAAATTTTCGTATGTGCTTAGGAAAAATTACGAAAAGACAAAATTCCTCTGTGAACAATGTTATTCGTTGCTTCGTTTGTAACTAAAATATGTAAATTATCTGGGCTAGTCATGCGAGAGCAAGCGACGTACCGTTGACCGTGTGAAAAAAAATATCGTTGTTTCTACCGAGTAACTACGTGAAGATATCGCAATATTTTTTTTTAGATAAGGGCCAAGTGTCTAACAAATAAAACTTGAAAATTTAATTGAAATCTATCCAGTAGTTTTTAGGAGGTTTTGAGGTGATTAGTGGTAATATTTTGTTATAGTATTAACTCACAACTCAAGTCTCGTACTTCAGACATTGGTACGACTTTCCATTGACTCCTATCGAGTTGGGGGTTGATACATATTTTTACAGAAAAGTTACACTATTATAAGCACACACACAAAGTTACAATATGCGGAAGCATGTAATTTTTGAGAAAAAGTTATTGAAAATCAATTATTCTTGCATTGTTTATGTTTAATCCTACAATAAAACTGACGCCATTTTTTATTGTTATTGTCAGTAGGGATGTCGATTCTTTCCAAAAAAGATCGGTTTTTTAAATAGATTCGAATTGTAAACTGATGTATCGATTCCCAAAAAATCGATTTCTAAAATATCGATATTTTTTTAATGTTTGCATTTATAATGTAAATTATAAATCCATTTTATGAGAAAAAAATCCCCTTCATCATAAAAAAATAAGGGGACTGATTCAGAAGGATTTCTGTATCTATTTTGAGACTGCTACGTCTCCGGCGCTGCGGGAAGAGCAGCCTCCGCAGCTTCGGCTTGTTGGTCGCCTTCGGCGACCAGCCTCAGCCGCTCCGGCTCGTCCGATGCCTATGATTTGTTACAGCAGGTGGAGGCTGCTCCCCCTACGCGCCTCCGGCTCTATAAAACCACTCTAGGGGTAGGACAGACTCGTATCAGGTGGAGTCGGGGTCAATCAATTCAGTTCTTTGACATAAGTTGAACCTAACCTATTTTATGTTATCTGCCCTAATTGGTACTGTTGAAATAAAACAAATTTCAATAAGAGATCATTTATTATGGTATCTTTCTTGTTTTTTATAAAATGGAATTATATTTACATTATATAAATGCAAACATAAAAAAATAGATATTTTAGAAATCGATGTTTTTATGAATCGATACATCAGCTTACGATTTGAATCGATTTCAAAATCGACCTATTTCGGAAAGAATCGACATCCCTACTGATGACAATGACATTACAAAATGGCGTCTATTTTATGGTAGAATTAGATATAAACAATGCAAGAATAATTGATTTTCAATAACTTTTTTCTCAAAAATTACGCGCTTCCGCATATTGTAACTTTGTGTGTGTGCTTATAATAGTGTAATCTTTCTGTAAAAATACGTATCAACACCAAACTCCACTGACGTCAATGGAAAGCTAAGCCGAACAGAGTCACCGAGTCATGATTTTCAAAGAGTCTGATCACCCAATGTAATGTTAAGGTGATAAAATTGCAGGTTTAGACATATAGTAGAGCCTATAGACATTTGATACTTGCTTACAGGGTGATAGGAGAAGGGGTGGGGTGGTTCAGGCGAAGAACCTTGTGGAAAAGTATAGTTTAATTGTAATTATTATTTGTAAATCATTACCTCACTTTTTTACACAGGAATATTGACCCAAAATCACTTCTTCACGCAGGCATCCATGTTCACCTTCACAGTTTTAGTTTTTTTGTCGCTCTCAGTGACCTGCCTCAGCAGCTATGATTCGCACAGGTATCTGCGATTTGTTACAGTGGGAGGGTCTGTCCTTTCTCCACACCTACGGCTATACAAAAACACATTAGGGGTAAGGCAGATAAGACTATGTGGAGTCGGAGCATGCTGATTCGGAAAGTCATGACGTCTAATTAATAATATTAGAAGACATATTTGGGTTTTGTTACATGCAATTTTTTGTGAAATTTATTTTTATCGGAATTAATTCAAAACTCATTTCTGAAATCCAAAATCAGTATAAAAGGTTCAAGCTTAACCCTGTCAAGCCTCCTAAACTGAAAACATAATTATAATCAAGTGTCGAACGTCTATAGCCAACTCCTGCTGTGTTTCGTATGATGATTACAGAACTGGAGACCCTTTTTACTGGAAACGAGGTATTCCATCTTAGACCTCAGGGGTGACAATGCATTTGCATTTTGATTCTTAATCAAGGATAAATGTAAATGTCTGTGGGCCACAGCATCCACTTACCATCAGGTGGACTGTGTGCTCGCTTGTCACCCTTATTCTATCAAATGCATTGGGATACAATACAACTGGGAAACTAAAAATTGATTTCTTTGTAAAAAACAGGATTCGAATTCAGAACTTTAGCAGAGTACCCAGGTATTCCGACCACTAGATAATACAATTTGAAGTTTATAAGATCTCTGTTAAAAGAATTCTGAGGATGTCGAATCATTAATACAAAACCTATTTATTAAATACTAATCAGACAGAAAGTCAGAGGTAAATTTTTTTTTTTTTTAATAAGGATAACAACAGCGTATATCACTAAATACAATTTTCAATTTCACTTCAAGTATGCCAATAACAGTCATCCACATATTAAATATAAAGGTAAGCCAGGTACAATTATAATAAATAAAAACAATGCAAATTAGACCAATTTAAAACAGCTTAATAAAATAACAGTAATAAAGATTAAGTTAACTTTATAATTAATTACAGAAAGAAACCGATTCATCTAATATGGACTCTCTACAGGATAGATTTACCTCACATTTGAGCAACCTTGCAGGGAAGCGTCTCAATGTCAATAACCATCCCTACATGTTAGAACTGAATAACAGGATAGAAAAAGGACGCCAAAAGGCAACTCGTGAGTAAATATTTGATACAAACATACTTTACTACATAGTGTTTGAAGTTAACATTGTTAAATTAAACATATATCTATAAGAGCTTTTCATTATATGACCTGCTTAATGCATAATATTTTAGTTACTACTGAGTCCTTCATCAGCTTTTTGCTATATTGCAGATTATCTAGCAGTCCATACCTAAACATAGGCTTCTCTTCAGAGGAAAGGTTGCTTTAATTGTTACACTTCACAGATGGATTGTCTATTGCAGCACCAGAGGTTTTCCACCTGAAGTTGCTTCCCCACGTCAGTCTGGGTATTATTGTTCTGGGCACAAATGCGATGATATACTGCAATCTATGAAGTCGATAAGATTTCTGGAATTCCTTATAGTCACTACTTACATCACCCATGAAACAAAATAGGGTGATAGATTCTTTAAAGACTTGAAGATAGCAATGAGACAATGACCTGATAAGACATGCTGGAAGTCAATGGATGCAGGTGGCTTAGGATTCAGATGCTTTGTGGCATTCCTTGGGGGAGGGCTATTTTCAGAAGTGCACCTGTAACGGGCTGTAATTAGGATGAGGATGAATTACACAAAAAGGATTCTTTTTTATATAATAAAAAACTTAAATACTAAACAAATTCTTTACAGAGAACTTGGATGAATCTGACCTAGCTATAACAGAATCACAAGAGCAATATGTAAGTATTAGATTATTATTTTTTATTTTTAATATAATTTCAGGCAATTTATAATGCCCAGGGATTTTATCGGTCTATGCAGGAATGGTCAAGTAACCTATAATTATACAGTAAAGAAAAACGATAAATCATCATCATGTTGAACTTATTTTTATTACATGTCAGTAAATGAATTAACCTGTTTAGATCTAAAACTTCCTACCCCGAATGTCTAGGCACAGTCATTGATGGACAGAATAGAACAGAATAAAATGGAATAATCTTTATTCTATATAGATTACACTTAGATACTTATTGAAAGTCGGAAAAAACCTCTGTCCTGGGAAGAACCAGCAAGAAACCCAGTGGGCCATTGTTTTTAAGCAATAATTTCTAATAATAAAATATGTTGTACAATTAAATATGTCAGCATTTAGAGACAGCACGGTAGCAATCACCTCATCTCCAGGGGTTATTATCAAGCATCTAATCTTTAGTAGGATAATAACCCATATTAAACAGTTTTTCTCAATAAAAACATACACAGACGTTTTGGTGTAGCTGTGTTATTAATATGTTTTTTTTTTTAAATAGAACAACAAATAAATGAACCTGATGCTAAGTGAATGCTGTGGCCCATAGACATCTACATTTATCATAAAAATATTTTAAAACTATTGATGTTAAGAAAACGGCAGATTTATGGGGGATTTCCGTTAAAGTTATTTTATCTATAATAGATATAATAGCACCTTATCTAGCCTGTATATTTAATACAAGCGTCGAATCTGGTGTGTTTCCTGATTTAATGAAACATAGTAAAGTCATACCTTTATTTAAATCTGGTAGTACATTAGACCCCGCCAATTTTAGACCAATTTCTGTACTACCAACATTTAGTAAAATTTTTGAAAAAAACAATTTTAGATCAGATGTTAAGTTTCTTTAATATTAATAAATTGCTACATAGAAGTCAATTCGGTTTTACAAGGGGTCGCTCGACAACTGACGCTGGAGTTGAGCTTATTAAACATATTTTTTGTGCATGGGAGAATTCAGAGGATGCTTTGGGTATATTTTGTGACCTTTCCAAGGCCTTCGACTGCGTTCACCATGAGACATTAATCAGGAAGCTACAGTACTATGGTATCAAGAACACAGCGCTTAAACTTATTATTTCATATTTACGTAATAGAATGCAGAAAGTTATTATTAATGGTAAAAGTTCTTCCGGCTCACCTGTACTAATGGGTGTCCCTCAGGGCTCGATTCTCGGCCCATTCCTATTTCTAGTGTATATTAATGACTTACCTTCTCTTGTAGAGGATAATCATGATATAGTACTATTTGCTGATGATACTTCCTTGATTTTTAAACTTAAACGTCAATCATTTAAAATGTGACACAGTGAATAATGCTATATCAAAATTAGTGCATTGTTTTAACGTTATAAATCTACATTTAAACGGAAATAAAACTAAATGTATTAAATTTACAACAACAAATGTTAAAAATCTGAGTACCAATGTGTTTTTAAATGGGGAAGAACTGAGCCCTGTTGAATCCACTGTTTTTCTTGGCATCGCTCTCGACGCAAAGCTTCAGTGGGGCCCCCATATATCCAAACTATCAAGCAGACTAAGTTCTGCAGCCTATGCTGTAAAAATGATTAGAGGTCTCACTAGTGTCGAGACAGATAGATTAGTTTATTTTAGTTATTTCCATAATCCTCCACAGAGTCAGTAATTCATTCTTGGGGCAATGTATACGCTATTACAACAAGGTCCCGGAAAGTGTACAGGCTCTCTCTATTAGCAAGTTTAAATGTTTTGTTAAGTTGAAACTGTATAAAAAGGGTTGTTATAGTATAAATAAATACATGGTTGATAATAACCCCTGGGAATGAGGTGATCGCTTCCAAGCTGTTTCTAAAATAAATTTTGTACTTATATAGTTTGTACAACCATTATTGTAAAATTTGCTTTAAAAAAAAAGTCCCGCTGGGTTTCTTGCTGGTTCTTCCCAGGACAGAGGTTTTTTTTCGAACCAGTGGTAAAGTAAAAAATGACTTTCAATAAGAATTACACATGTGATCTATATTGAATAAAAAAAATATTCTGTTCTATTCTATTATTCTATTCTATCCTCAAGTAAGAATCAAAATGCAGATGAGTTGTCACCACTGAGGAATAAGATGGAATGCCTCTTATCCAGTAAAAAGGGTCTCTACACTGACCATACGAAACATAGCAGTGTTAAGCTGCTATTTTACGCTGTTTTTTTGACAAAATGAAAAATAATTAACCACATTTAATGACAGTGAATAGTGTAGTTCCTTGTCAAGTCAGCGGTAAGCCCAACAAATTTGAGGTGTGCAAAACACCTTATTTTAGTTTTCCTTTTAACAACTCTATATAGCTACTATAGTGAAAAATGTTAAGGAAATAAATGTAAAGAGATTCCTCTGATAAACAATGCAACTTATTAATTCTTTTTTTATATAGGATAGGGTGACAAACGAGCACAGAGTCCACCTGATGGTAAGTGGTTGCTGTGGCCCATAGACATCTACATTTATCCTCGTTTGCGAATCAAAATGCAGAAGCGTTGTCACCCGTGAGGACTAAGATGGAATGCCTCTTTTCCAGTAAAAAGGGTCTCCGGTTCTCTAGACTCACCATACGAAACACAGCAGTGTTAAGCTGCTATTTGACGCTGGTAATCTGTGAATTATATTCTTTCATGAAAAATAATTGCAATTAAAATTTTTGACACTTGTATATAATAAAAAATATATAGTACTTGCTAGTTTTCTTTTAAAATTCATTCTAGAAAACTTTTTGCGTGCGCCTAATTAGAAACATATTTAAAAATTTCAGATTGATCCAATCACTAAGAGGCCAATAGTAGACCCTGTTAAGAACACAGTGTGTGGACATATTTATGAAAAGGAATCCATCATGGAGCTAATCAACATGAGGAAGAGTTTGAAATGTCCAGGTAAATTAAATTCTTCACTTAAACCTGTAATAATCACCAGAATTTTTGTCGATATATTATGATTACCATGTAGGTATTTTGAGTATTGGCATATTTATTTTTTGAGTTACTGCATATTGAATGAACCTAGTTTATGGATTTCATCGTGTGTAATTAACTTATTTTATATTGCTTACCTTTCAAGTACTTTACAACACCCATGGCCACTGGGGACACGCATACTTGCATACGCAACTGGAAACCTCATAATAAAAAAGTTTCGGTAAACTGTAATATGTAAACTAGAACCATTACAGTGGTTTTTACAATTTAGGTTGCGCTTTCAGTTCATGTACCGGTTCTATTATCAGAATAAGGTAAGAAACTACTAAATAATGGTTATTTACCACATTTTTGGAACCTTTTTGGCATATTCAAATATTTATTATTATTCTATTTGCGGGTACTTGTTTATTTTGTTAATTAATAAAGTAAATTAAACATAGGTGATTTAATATTCACCTATGACAGTTTGTCTTCTATCATGCTACCAATATTAATTCATAACAATATTCAATCTCTATGTTTTCTCTTATCTACATAGTAGGAGATAAAACAAAGCCGCTTTCCGCCGTCTGTACGCTTAGATCTTTTAAACTACGCAACGGATTTTGATGCGGTTTCATCAATAAACAGAATGATTCAATAGGAAGGCTTATATGTATATTATATACTTATTTTATCTGTGTATATGTGACTGAACTAAACGACTGGACCGATTTTGATGAAATTTTGTGTGTGTGTGTGTGATTAAGTTGATTAGAGAATGGTGTAGATTCACAATTAAAAACCGGTAGGTGGCGTTGTTGTCGAGATCCAAAAATTAACCGCGCGTAGCAGGGCGGGATCGCTAGTATTGTATATACTGACCATATTACTTTTCAATGCCTGCTTGTTATACCCTTAGTTTTACGTTACACTTAGTGCACGTTTTTTTTTACTTTTTCCAGTTGCCGGGTGCGGTAATCGCGCGCCTTTGCTACAGCAGCACTTGATATCCGACGACGAGCTGAAGTTCCGAATGACTCTCACCCAGCACTCGACAATGATCCAGGAAAGGTCGATTATGGATTTGGATAATAGTTTGTTATAACATTTCTTTTGTATACTGTAAATATCAAAACATAAGGAAATTTATTTTTTAATAATTTACAAAACTCAGGCTTGTGTGATTGCAATACGTAATATGTTATCATAATGTAACATCTTTCAATTTGAATTTAATTGATTTTTTTTATTTTAAACTGGCTTTACGGCTCTGGGTTCTAGCCCTTCTGAGCCTTGAATTTAATTGAAATTGTGTGTAACCTCCGAGTGTCGTAAGAGGCGACAAAGGGGAACAAATCAGGAGATGGGCAGCGGTATCTTCCTGATAACAACGCTCAAAACTCAAATAATTTGGTACCTGTATTATTTCTTTTGGTAATTGAATATTTTCGCCATATTTTATTTTTTATTTTGATACAGTAATCTTGCAGATATTCGTGACCGTTATGTTATTATCTACTATATAGTATTTAATGTATACCTACGTCTGTAAATCTCAATAGAACAATTTACATGTGTTTAGAATTGTATATTTTAATAAGAGGAAGGAAGAGGTGATATGCCTTCCATAAAATATGGAGTTGCTGTGCTAGTAAACAACTAAAAACAAGAAATAAGAAAACAATTAACAACATTTTACGTGGTATGGGCCACAGCAACTACTTACCATCAGGTGGACTGTGTGCTCGTTTGTCACCCTATACAATAAAAAAAAGAGGTAACAAAAATAAACTAATTAAAAAGTTGTCACTAAAATTGCTCTCGAATGTACGGTAGACGATGATACGTGCGAAGCAACCAAGCATCGACTGACGAACCCATCACGTTGAGCGTCAGCGTGGTCAACGTCATATCGACCAATAAAAAGTGTGCTCACGACTCATGCCGGTAACTATACTATATGTGACAGTTTACCACCTTTCTTTAGAAATAAATATTGTTTGTCTTTATTGTATCAAATGAAATATAAGACTTGATTAAATAAATCTATACCTTTTTTTAATTATAATATTCACTTGTATTTATTTCACAATATTTATTTTTAATTATTAGTGTTAGTAAGCATAAAAATAGACAACGCTCAAACTATTGATGCAAGCAAGAGGCAACCTTATGTTTACGGAGATAATGCCTTTTCTCCTTTGGACATTGTTAATCGCGACTGTTCTAGTACATTCCCATTGAAAGAGTGGAATGACCTGGATTGACCTAGAATGTTTCATCTACATTCCTGTTATTGGGTTTTAAACCGTGCGCCGGCGATCGGAGAATCAATTACTTTAGGGACGCGAAAGTGAATTGTACTTCGTTAAGCGACTACAAGCAATCGACCTACGCCAACTGCAATTGGTAAAGACATCACCGAAGACTTATTCTTATTTCTCTTATTACTTATGACTTACTCTTATTTCACCATTAACTCAAGTTTAATCAGTAGAAGTGCCATGCCAAGAAATAAATGTAAGCTCCATCTGCCTCTATGCAAGCTTGACATATATAAAAGAAATGTATTTATAAATGCAATTAGAGTTTACAATAAATTGCCTAACACTTTTAAAGACCTCCCTTTCGTAATTTTTAAAAGGAAACTCACGGAATGGCTGGCAACAAAATGTTTTTATTGGTTAGACGAATATATGAAATATAAAGAAATGTAAAATAATGGTGAAATAAAGAAAAACTTATATTTTTTTTAACATTTAATATTTATTTTATTTTATTTTTTGACATTTTTTAATTTTTTTAGATACTATCCATTTATATATAATCAATTACCTAATTAATTAAATTTTTGACATATATTTATTGTAACTTAAAAACTTGACGCTAAAATATTTTTAAACAACTACATAATTATTTTTCCTAAATATTTTACCTCGTTAATATGTAATAATAATTTTCTTTGTATATTGTAGATATTTCACACCATTATCATGGTAGAATGTAAAGTCTCATTAATAAATTACAACATCATAATATTATGTACTACATTCTGGCAATAAATGAATTTGAATTTGAAAAGACATCACGAAGATCTTAGCGATTTTGTACGACGTTTATTACTCATCATTACTCATCCCAATCGGCATTTTTACTCGCCCCGCAAGTAACAATACGTATACAGTGTACCATGTTTCTTTGGAAATAAATATTGTTTGTCTTTATATGACTTGATTAAATGAAACTATTTCATTTTAAATAAAGAAATGAACCGAAAATGTATTGTTAATAGGCATGGGTAATATCACTTTTACCCTATATCAAATCGTACCTATGTATTGGATATGAAAATGCGATTTTGTATCTATATATTTGTTAATATCTTCGTTCTGAAAAGAAGTCAGTACTCAGTATCACATGGTGATATGCGATTTGTGACCGAATTTCCATTTATTGATTTATAGATATATTGTATTATTTATGTAATGTATTCTTAATGTATCTCATAATATAAAAAGTGACATATACATATCAATAGGATTTATCCTGCGAGATAATGAAATAGAATATTAAATTGAATCGTGTCGTGTTTGTGCCATCATTACCACATTTTTTTTAATTTAATTTTTTTTATCGTTAGCTTTGATTTTGTATAAGAAAATAGAAATGAAATGGTACTGAATAATTTAACAGTTAAAATCAATCGCAATTATGATCGACAGTTAATTAATCTATCAGAAATAAATAATAATTTTACTTTATTTTAATTGAATTTAAAAAGAGGTTCGTCAAAATTATAAAAATTACTTGCAAGTTTTATAGTGACTGCCGCCTCTAATTCTTATGTCGCTGACAAACTAAATTTCGGTGTAACATAGCAGCGTTGCCAACACCAATTTGTCAAATTCCCCGAAAATTCATGTCAAATTCCCCAATTTAAGGACAAAACTTCAACAGATTCTCCACAAATTCCCCTCAATTTTATTTTAAGAAATGAATCAATTTTCAGCTAATTTTATAAGATTACTTTTTAACTAACTTTTATTTTATTAAAATTTAAAAAAATAAAGAAATGAAAATCATTAAATGATACACAAAAGTTGCCGAAATAAATCCGAAAATTAAATATGATGCAATGAAGATAATTAAAAAAAAGAGTCATTCGATATTCATAAGTAACCTAAGAAAATGTTAAAATAAGTATTTGATTACTTGAAAGAAGGTTCTGATTTGGCCCTGGCTATCGATTTTCAAAATCCCTGTATTTTCCCCTCATAATACCAATCCCCAACCGACTTTAAATTTCCCACAATTTTGGGAATTCCCCACATGTGGACAAAGCTGACATGTTTGTGTAAATTCCACGGCGTGAGGCGACACGAGCCGGCCGGGTTAGGCATTGTTTCGCACCGAGCTAGATACAGGTCGACGGTGGAGGGAGTGTGGGTACAGTCGCGTTCTAAAGTACCACATGGTACTAGGCTATTATTTTATAATATTATAATAGGAATTAATTGTTTTATTGTAGAATCATAATAGGTACCTACTTTACTAGCTACATAGAACTTTGGAAGAGGTTGGAATTAAAAATAAATAATGTTTACTTGAGCATTATTTTTTATTTCTATCGTAAAATAATAAAGTAGTTCGTAACAAGAAAATTTAAACTAAGGGTGACACGCCTTCCATTATACCGTTGGAACATGGAACATGGAAGCCAGATGTCAATGGTGTGTTGGTGTTACTAGATGCTACTTCATCATCACTTTCATCTTCGCTTGAACTTCCGTCATCAGGTCGACCACATGGTAATTTTTTCGGTATTCTTCCTCAATACTTTTAACTTTACTGCACAGTTTTCACCATTCACCTTCTATTTACCCTTTCGTTCACTAGTTCAGTTATAAAACAATAGATATAAATAATTTTTCTTTCCTTCCTTTTTAAAACCATGGTCGCGAGTCGTGCAAAGTAAGCTGTGTATGCGACTGTATTTTGGAAGCCAACAAAGCGCCGGAAGCATGACAGTAATACTGGCGAGCGTTTCCCCGTCGCGCCCCTTTCGTACCACCAATTTGATCGATAAACCGCTGTGTCCAGGTTCAAGGCCACCGTTCCTTTTACGTGACGGGACCTATAAGTGTTCGGCGTCCAAGCGTACATTGACCCCCAGGCAGCTGATTGTACAGGGACAGGGAGCAGTTATAACGGGAGGGGCGCACGGTTTTTTTAAAAGATCGATAGTGACGGACAATTCATTCAAGAACATTGAACCCCATTTCACAGCAAAGACCTATATATATATATATATATATATATATATATATATATATATATATCGCACCTCAACTTGCTGTTATTTTCAATGCTAGTATTGAATCTGGTGTGTCCTGATTTAATGAAACGTAGTAAAGTTATACCTTTATTTAAATCTGGCAGTACATGCACCCCATTAATTTTAGACCTATTTTTAATGTAAATAAATTACTGCATAACAATCAGTTTGGATTTACAAGAGGTCGCTCGACAACTGATGCCGGTATTAAGCTAATCCAAAGATATTTAAGTATTAGTAGTAATATATATTTACATAGGCTGCACTAAAAGTATCGGGAATGGAATATTTCCACTGTTCCTGTCATATTAAAATCTTTTTAATTGAAAAGTCCTTAGTTTTAAAAATCGAATACCATTTATTTATTTAAAAAAAGATTCTCGGTCTTGTCACAAGATTTTGTCAAACTTGTTTATTCGTTGAGAAAATGGAATTGACTCGAGAAAATTCAACAGCGATGATTTATTATGACTTTCGAAGTGGTTTAACACAAAAACAGTGTGTTGTGTGTTGGATGATTTTTGCATTTGGTGATGAAGCCCCATCCAAAACCACAATTTATCGCTGGTTTGCTGAATTTCAACGTGGACGTGTCAAGCTCAGTGATGATCCCCGTCAAGGTCGTCCAAAAACTGCAGTCACCCAAGAAAACGTTGATGCTGTGCGTAAGCTGATTGACGTTTTTGCTGTTGCATGTATGGGCCGGCTCGAGCCGGGTTGGTACCACGACCTCACAGAATACCGGCGTGAAGTAGAAGCTTTGCTTCTGC